ATCCAACAACAGAAGAAAAAAAAGTAGAAAATATGCTGGAAATGGAAATTAAAGAATCAAATCTAATGTTTACACTTACCAATAATATATTCCAAAGCGCTGGGGGATTGTATCCAACAAATGATGTGTGTTTTCAGTGGTGTCTAAAGGAGCTGAGGGTTCCCCAGGCTCATTGCTATTTCCAGATTCTTTTTCTTTGCTCTCCTGAGCACTCATGGTGCATTCTGGTGATTCCCAATCTCCGCCAATAATATCGACTTTTATGGAAATCCTTTATTTCAGAGCCTGATGACCCAAATACTAACATAATTGGTTTTAATTTTACTGGGCTCATACCTGTCCTTGCAGCCTCTGCAGTCCCCGCTTTGGGGCCCACTGATATAAATATTGCCTACGGCCTGTCAGGTAGAAGAACATCATGTTAACATAAACAGTGCCTTGAGGTTTAACTTGGCAGTGCCAGCTGTGTCTACACGTGGCCCAGTTTTAACCACCTCTCATATCAAACAGCACTTTGAGGGAGGTTCTCTTGTAGTGGCATTGACTAAATAAGTATAAAAAAACTGGGAGCTTGGAGTATAAAAGGATTGTTTCTCCAAAAATCAGGATTACCCTGACATGAGCCTCCATAACCTGTCCTACACCTTATTAGTACCAGCTGGTGTGTGTGTGTCCCTTGGGCAGTGTTGGAGACACGTGGCCCTGATGAGCTGAAAGACAGAAAAGGCTGAGAGCTGTTGTTCAGCTGGGTCAGTACATCCCAAAACAGCTCCTGCCTTTGCCCAGGAATTCCACTGTGCTGTTCCCCATCCCTGTGTGTCTCAGCTCCCTGTGAAATGCAGAGAAAAAGAAGTAAATTGGCTGAAATAATCTAAACAAAACCATCAAAGAAAGATGGATCTGAACTTCTCTTGAGGCCTTAGGAACAGCAGAGCTGGTTGTAAGAAGGAGCAGCAACTGTTTTCTACCTCTCCTGGAGAGACAGGAGAAGGGGACAGAGGGATACCCTCACTGAGGGCCACCACGGAGGCACAGGACTGTGACTCAGCACAACCCCAGAGGGGATAGAAGAGATGAAGTGAGGAGGAAAACACCAGCCAAGTGCTTTTTTGTACTGCAGCAGATCCCTGGGGTCCCGTGTGAGTCAGCAGGAGCGGCACCGTACCCACCAGTGTCTCAGTGCTCTGAGTCACTCCGAGCCTCAGATGGCCCCAGAGAAGGGACAGGGGGATGAAAATCCCTCCTGAGCATCACTCCTGTGCTCAGTCAAACCATCCACCAAGCACTTGCTGTGGTTTTCTTACACATGATAAATTGCCCCCTGCTCATGCTGACCCAGCGTGGGTGTTCTGAGACATTGGTCCTGGAGAAGGGCTGTCTCCCAGGATACACGCAGGGTAAAATAAAATACTCAGTGTGAACTAATACAATTTAACTTCCAGGATTACTTCCACATCCAGTTTAGTCTGAAAATCAAAACTGGCACAGTTTAAATTTTCTTTTGCTCAATGAAGAAGATGTCACTCATAATTGATGGTTCCTTCTGCAGGACTTCCTGCAGGATAAACAAGCCAGAGCTTGTCCCTTGCTGCTCCTCCTTCCTCTCCCCTTCTTCCTTGGGATGCAGTTCAAACAGGCAGAGAATTATAAGGCAAAATAGAAAGACACAGGATGCAATAATCCAGGGTTTAATACACATTTGAATTGGTAGTTTGATTTAGAAGGGAAATGAAAATATATTGGTGGAAGGATCATTCCCTGGCACCCACGGCACACTAGAGTCACCTTCCTGGGGCCCTCCCTCCGCTCCCCAGCCCTGAGGTTTGGCACCTCCTTTGCTCTAATATGGGAAATATCAGAAGTTCATGGAGCAGCTCTGCTCCTGTTAAAACCTCATTGAATTAACTAGCAGTGAGGGATGGGTCTTGGTTTTTTTTAGTTCAAAAAATAAAGGCAGGAGATGTCCGACCTCACAAACACCATCCTAGACAGTCACCTCATCACACACGGGGTTGAATTCTTCCCCTGCAGTGCTCAGTTCCAGCAGGCTGACCTGATCCATTTTACTCCACCAAAAAAAACCCTGTGTCAAGCTTTTGATGATAGAGAACACATCCAAGGAGCTGATAACGATAATAAAAATTAATTTAGGCAGCCACTTTACCCAGCATTTGTCTTACAGCTCTTCCATTTTGATAGGTACGTGCTCAGGGAGGAACAAAACAGCAGCAAAAGGCCCCAGGTATGTGGGAGAAAAGGACACTTTTATTCTGTATTAGATTAAAGCTAACACATTCCCACATTTCACATTCCTCCCTGGGGAGAGAACCCAAGAGGGCAGGATTGCCACCCTAATTCTGCTTGATCCCTTGTATGATAATATGGAAACATAAGGATTAAGGGCGACAAATACAGGTCAGGTTCTCCTAATCTGCGTGGCACAAAACTGCAAGTGTGTTACCCAGCTGGGAACTTCCAAATCAGACCTTAAGTGTCTCCAGTGCACTTTACTACATGTTTAATAGAATTTTAATTGCAGAGTGATTGGATGTGATATTACAGAATTACCACAAATTACTTAATTGCTGAGGTTAAGCAGATATTTCTCTCAATATGTGTTTTTGCTGCTATAGATCCCTGCCTTCGTATTATTTGGCACAGCATTGCCTGAGCAACAGAAGCAGAGATCGTTAACCAGGACAAAACCACTTTCATTTAACGTGTTGGTAAATTTAAGAGGCAGATGTGTGAGATTCTTAAAACTGGCTGTAGAAAGAATCCGGATCCTGCCGTTCTTAAGGAGCTGCACGCAGGGGTGAGCAGCTGAGAGTGCCAGTGCATGGAGATTTTTGCAAAAATTATGATGTGCCTGAATGAACTTGTGTTTGGAGCCATTTGGGAAGCTGCTTTCACAGCCTGAAAATGCAGCTAATCCTGTGCAGGCGCTGGGAAACCAGATGGGCTGGAGCTGTGATGTTGGCTGGTTCCTGTTGTCCCGAGGCTGATGGTGGAGGAGGAGAGGCTGGAGTGTTGCTTCTCCTGTGGCCTCTGGAAGGGACCTCCTGGAGAATCATGGTGGGACTGCTCCATCCAGGGCAAACCAAAGGTCTGTCCAATAGAGAAATTAATTTCTGGAGGTGGTCAAAAGCAGGTGCTCAGAAGTGTGAAAGAGCAAGGCAAGCATCCACGCTCCCATCGAGCTTCCCAGTGGATCTTCTCACCTCTCCTGTGCCACACATCATGTAGGGCCTCTCCCAGTCAGTTCCATCAAAGCTCCTCAGGGAAGGATCAGACACAGATCAAATTCATTCACTTGATGCCATCTGAGGGGCTGCAGGCTGTCTGATGATGAATTACATCTGTGATCACTATGGCCATAGAGCAGCCAAAAATATTCAGTTTGAAAAAACACATTCACTTGGACAAGAGAATAAAACCAGACCCTTCTTTCCAAAACATGTCCCTTCAGTTGCCTAAATCTTTATTGAATAAATGGCTTTTGCAGCATTCTTGGAAGATGCTGTCATGCATCATGCAGGCTGGTGCTAAAGGAATAGAACCCTCTCCTTTGTAAGTTATGTGTTTAATAAGAGATGGAGCACATGGCATTGAAGTAGGGCTGTGATTATGGAGCTGGGCACTAGGAATTATTTAATTTCTGTACAAATTAGGTAGTGACTCGACTAATGATGACACCCACAAAAATAGGGCACAGACTCTTCCCTCCCCACTCCGCTACTAAAGCCTCCCCTTTGTCTCTTGGCTGATGGGGAGATGTGACCACGGCCTGACTTGTTCCTCCTGGACTGCACTCTTTGAGGGAAGCACACCTTCTGCACATCTTCTCCATGAGCTACAGCACAGTCCCTGAGGGATGACAGAGTCTGGGTTGCCGACATATCCACATAAATATTTTGAATCCTGAGGCAGAAGGAAAAGCAGCCTTTGGCTCCACGTGCCAAATCCACATTGCACTCGTGGTACCTCACTCTGCAGGAGAGCTTTGCTGCTTCCCAGGCCATTACAGGTCACAAAGAGGACAAGAGTTATGCAGCCCTTGTTGTCCGTAGAGCAAATTTGGGATAAAAAATTACCTTAATTATTATATTTTCTTCTTGCCTTTTATTGTGTTATGTTTTAACTGAAATTTCTTTATTTCCTGCTAGGATTCTGCCAGGATCCTGTTGTTCCATACAGAGGTTGAAGTGTATATTAAAAAAGGAAACAAATCTTTCTCTTGATTGTATGATATGTCTCCTTTTTAATCCAGACTGACAAATGCACTCTATCAACAGCACTTTTACCCTTCAGATTTGTTGCATTTTGTTTGCATTCTTTGACATCCCTCAGCTAGAATCTGGAAAGGAAAAAAAAGCAGTGTCTTTCTCTGCTTACCCTTTAATGAATCATTTTTATTATGGCAAAATCCAGACCCAAAACATGTTGTAATCTCAGGTATTGCACAAACGTAGAACAAAAGGACGAGCCCTGCCACCAGAAAGAGCTCCTGAGGCTGTTTAATGATCCTCAGCACCGTGGGGACTGCAGCCAGTGGCTCCATGTAACAAGCTAATGGGATTATCATGTCCCTGGCTCTCTGTCTACCTGGATGAAAAACACACACTAACTGTCTCTATGAGTACTTTGGACAAGATAGCCAGTGCTACAAGGGCATGAAACACAGGGGACAGACGTGAATAGAGTTTCATTTAAGCTGGTGTCTGAGCCAGGCATCTGAACCAGTCCTTCATCTGCACCTTCCATTGTTCACCACGCTGCTGCCCCAGTGCTTTTGCTATTTTCTATTACTCCTGTTATGCTTGATTTTGCAGGCTGATTGTCCCTCGGGGTTATTAAATTCTTTGCACAACGGCAACAGGAGAACAACTGTGGCTTTAGGAAAACAGTTTACAGCAATAAACCCCACGCGGACAGGTCCCTTTTTCACCCTGGTGATAAATTGCTCACAAAGCAATGGGCTTTTTTTCCATACCTTGCAGGTGCTGTGGTGATCGCCTTCGTGGTCTGCTGGCTCCCTTACCACATACGGCGCCTCATGTTCTGCTACGTCCCCTCCAGCCACTGGACAGAGTGAGTCACAATGTGGGGGACAAGGTCCCCCCATGCCAGGACGGGGTTGGGAGGGTCAGGCTGGAGCTGGAGCTACTGGGGCACCCACAGATGTGGAGGTGGAGGAGGGGATCTGGAAGCAAAGGTGTTCTCCTTGCAAGGGGTTAAAGCCTCAAACCCCTCATTGCTGTTTTGCTTTTTTTTTTCTTTTGGATTTCTCAGTGTTTACCAGCCAGATTAAGACTCTTAGTTTTACCACATCAATCCCCCAGACACAGCTGAAGGAATCATTAGCTTGAACCAAAATTCATCATCAGCCCCTCCTCCTCCTGTGGGCTGTAACCACAGGCTCACCCCTGTTGGACACAGCCAGGGGTGTTCACCTCTGACAGCCCTTGATGAAATGACATTTGGACAGGGGGGGTTTATACATCCCAAGTGGATTTCTGTCTCCGTGCCGGAGATATCGATCCCCCGCCCTAAGATGGATCACCTCCCATCAACACATGATTTAGCTCCACGAGGCCACATTTCCTCAGTGACAGAAGAGATCACACAGGTGGAGGAATAACTGTGCTGCTTGCTGAGGCTGGGGCAGGTTATTTACTGCGTTTTGCAGGGAGTGGATCAGAATTAAATACCAGCAGATGCTGCTGATTAGAAAATGCCCAGATTGTCCGAGAATTCTGGGATATGTGCACACCTGTGCTGAACTCACGTGTGCTGTTCACAGATGTGCAAGGGCACCCCAGGAGCTCCCTTTCTGCAGCACCAGGCCAGATTCCTCAGGAAACAAACAACCAAACTGGTTATTCTTTCTAAATATGCACTTTAACACTAATGCTGTCTGGGGAGCCTGAGATGCCATGGGATGCACTTGTGTGTGTCCTGCCACGGTGTTACATCCCTGTTCTCCCTGGGACCGGGTCTGTTTCCTGCAGTGAACAGGAAAAGGAAAAATAATCTGCAATACTAAAAAGCAGAGCAACTATGAGACATCAAAATTTCACAAACTCCCAAACCAAAAAATAGTTATTTAGGATATACCAGTCTACTGAATGGAACTGTACATCCATCCATAGTAAAATCCAAAATCTATCTTCAGTGATGAAAACAGAGCTCTAAGCCCATACTGGTACAAACTGTTGTCTCTCCTTTGCTTTCCTATATGAAAAACACTTAAAGCAGTGTTCAATTATGTAATGACTGCATTTGCTTTGAGCAAGAGGGGTAGAGAAGTCTGTCTGCAGTTAGTGTGAATTTATGCATCCTGGTTGCATTCCCATCTTATTTTTTTCTCTTTTTAAAAGCCAAGGGCAATTTTAGGAAAACGTTGAATTTGCAGGCATGTTATGAACGGTGAACTATCAGTCTGGTGGTTAACTGAGAGTTTACAGCAGCTTGACATATTCATTTATAAATGCATGTGCCTTGCCCCTGAAGAACAGAAATTTTTCCTATATTAATTCTTCACAACTACGTGGAGAAACTCTGCTTGTAAGAGCTGGATGGGCCATGTAGTCCTTGGCAGTGCCAAGGGGATGTGGAGGGATGGGTGATGAAGTCCAGCACATGTCTATTTATCTTTTGTTAGACACTGCTCAGGCTAGCACAGAGGTCTGCAATTTCCACCAAGATAAATGATTCTGAGCAACATCTTCCTGAAAATGAGACCCACGCTGTTTGTAAATGCTTTACCAGCTCAGGGCTGTTGATCTCAGTTGTCCCAAGGAAAGATATTTTCAAAAGTAAAAAAAGGTAATTAAGCATTTTCAATCCGTTCTGGTTGAAAACATTATATTGTGGTGGTCAGGATGTGTTTAAAAAACATGCTATCATCAACTTGCCCCAAGAACAGGGATTGCTATCCCAGATTACAGAAAAATCCCAATCCAAGGACCCACCAAATGAGCTGATGTTGCTTTCACTGCTGGGGGGGGAGGACAGAGCTGCATCTGTCATGGGGGTTTGGCTTTTCTAAAAGCTCTGTAGACCAGAACTGCAGCCAAAAAAGTCAGGCTAATGTATATGTGTGACACAGAAACAAATTTCCATCTGGCTGCTCAGTTTCCAGAATGTCTATTTTCAAAGACAAAATGAACACATGAGGAAAATATCATCTCTGCCCCCAGGGCAGTAAGTTTTTAACTAGTAGTGATTGGGGTAATATCTTCATAGCCACATTTGATCTATGCTTGACCAGTTCCAGTTCAAGATATAGATGCTTTAAGTGGCTTATACACCACTGGTAAGCTCATGTGCCCAGCCTAGAAAGGTTGGCTGAAAAGCAGCTCATGTTCTTCTCACGTGTGCACATTTTACCTTGTGCCTTTGAATTTTTTCAGCTCTCCACACTCAGAATTTATCTTTCATCTGTTCTTCCAGTTTCCTTTACAACTTCTACCACTACTTCTACATGCTGACAAACGTCCTCTTCTACGTCAGCTCAGCAATCAACCCCATCCTCTACAACCTGGTGTCGGCAAACTTCCGTCAGATCTTCCTCTCTACACTCACACTCGTGTGCCTGCCATGGAGGAAGAAGAAGAAACGACTGGCCTTCACCAGGAAATCCAACAGTATCTCCAGCAACCACACATTTTCCAGCCAGGTCACAAGGGAGACCACATACTGAAGCCAAAGGAGGAAGGGAAATGCAATTCATCATGGAGTCAAAACCTGAGAGAGGCCTCTGTGACTCTCGTGCATGGTCTCCAAATTCACGTAACACAAATGTGTTTAGCAAAGTCATTTTTGTTGGAAAAATAGGCTTTGTTCCGCCAGTAACTTTGAGGTTATTTTAAAGCATTGGCCTTGCCTCTTGTGAGTAATGTCTACACATATTGTAACTTCAGTCTGGCATAAATCCAGATGTGGTGTTAACTGGGAAGCCAAAATATGTTAAACTTAGGCAAAACCGTACTGCATTTCATCCTTTTCTCAGTGCAGAGTTGCCGTGTTCACATCCAAGGGTTTGAGATCACATCTCTTGGTGGCACCGAGCAGAGAACCCAACGAGGAGAAAGCAGTTTTGAACAGAGAGGGATGTTTTTGGAGAATGGACATGCTCATCTCTGGGATGTTCAGTGGACAAGGAGTGAAAGCTCAGGGAGCCAGGTGGTTACTTTAGAAATATATCTACACTTTGAGTAATATGACCAAGGTGCTCAAGAGAGCCACTCTGGCTCCTTGAAATCAAATAAGAACAGATGATGCCTTACCTGGGGTGGCTGTGGCCTGGGGAAATGGGGGGCACCTTTGGCTTTAGGGCATCCATAGTGCCTGGCACAGCAAACGCCCTCTCTTGCTGGTTTTGGTGTCACAACACCAATAAATAGCAGAGTCTCTGGCAAAGTCAAGAATGCAGAGGCTGTGCCCAGCTGGAGTGCTGAAAATGAACAGAAATGGAAAATCTTATTCTTTCCATACAGTCAAATCCTATTTTTTACAGCGGAGAACAGTTTGCTGGCCTGCATTAAGAGGTGAGAAAACTTCAAGGTCATGAGTGCTCCAGGCTGCTGAGGTAAGAGCAATCTGCTCCAATTCTGTGAGACCTTCAGATTTTTCCCATTCTTATTCCAATTTTACCTGTTTCCTCACCATTTTCACAAAGCTGATGTCTCATAGGTTATAGCAGCTGTAGGCAGCAGGGCTTCTTGTTTTACCTTTTCTTTTATTTCTTTTTACTGCCAGACCTGTTGGCACACTGATCTGTACCCAAAATCTTCAGGTAGTGCAAATGGAGAACACAAGAAAGTCTAACCTGAGGAGTCTTAACTCTAAAACAACTTTTTTAACAAGCCGGAGGAACAAGAAATTTCTCAGTTCAGGATAGGTGGCATGAGCTTTTCTCCCATATGGTTCCACCTCTAACAGCCCTTTAACTATGTGATACAGCATGTTGCTCCAGAGTCTTTAGTACCAGAAATCACAGGGCTCTGGGACAAGTTGAAGGGCTTTCCCTGCTGTCACATCACCAGATGTGCACAAACCTGGAACCAACCTATCATCCTGTGCAACCTTTGCTGTTGATGACCTTGTGGCCCCTTTCACACCACAGTTCATTAGGAGAGCAGGACTTGTCTCTTTATCATGACAAAGTAGAAGAGTCACTTGGCTCGATTCTGCTTTCTGGGCTTTGCCCATCCCATATCACTCTTCAACTAACGATCACCCCTGGTACCTAACAGAAATCTCAGTGCTGGAGGTGTGGATCTGGCCCCAGTGAACTGTCACAAAATGATGGAGACCAGTTACTGAATCACTGGGTGCTGGTGACTTCTCCTACAGATGTTGTATCATAGAATCATAGAACATGTCAAGTGGGAAGGGATGCACAAGGATCACTGAGCCCAACTCCCTGGAGTTGTGATTTAGGCCCTGTTGGGCTCAGGACATACAGAAAACACCCATGGGGCATTTCCTGTGAGTTGTTGGTGATGACTGACTACTTCTGAGGCATTTTATAACCTGGCAGTTGTACAGAGCTACCATGGTAGACCATCAACCGACTCCAGCCACACCAGCCAGGGATGGGAGATGATTTTAATGCCTAGTACAGAACCACTCCAAAAGAAAGGGCTCAAAATAGAAATCAGTGGGGCTTTAGTTTCTTCTGATTCAACCAAACTGCAAGCTCTGTTCTATCATGCCTTCTTTTGATTTCTTGTCCTGGTTGTACCAAACAGAGGGCAGAGATTGTATTTGACAAAGCACTTTTGTTCCTTATGGACTATTGACTCCTCTTTGACAAGGAAAACAGGTAGTAGGACACAAATAAATAAATTAAAAAAAAAAAAAGGCAAAAAAGAGACATCACTTTGGAAGGAAATCTGGGATAAACCAGCAAATGTTATCTGTGTCTTTGTTAGAAATTGTTTGGACAGGTTGGAAAAGGAATCTTTAGGCCTGTTCATACTGCCTTGTGGGAAAGTCCTGGTACAATGAACAGGAGAGGGGAAGAGTCTTCCTTGAGAGGAAGAGAAGCCAATGTCACACAATGTTGGCCTTCCAGGCAAGACACTTCAAATATTTCTGGACAGAACCCAGATTTTTTAACTTCACCTCTAAACAGAGTCAACATCTGGGAGGTGGTTTCTGAAACTTCCCACAGAAGCTGGAACTGTGTGTTGCTTTGCCTTCCATTACAATTTAACACCCTGCATGTCTCAGTTGCTTTTGATATATTAAACACTATTACTAGACTTGTTCAACACCAACCTGCTGAAATGTGCTTGATTATCTTACAAAACACTGTACAAAAGTTGTTGTTTCACATATGATGCTTGGCTTTGATTTTCATTACCAAGATACACTGGCAGCTTACAGAATACTTGATCACAGCTCAGAGAAACTGGTAGGTTTATTTTTGGTTTGGCATGACAATGGGAAAAAGCTGGATTAAAAATGTACTTATCATAAGACTTTAAACTCTCACTATTGTTGGGCCACTCAAGTGTTGAAGACCTGGGGGAATTTAGGGGATTTATCCAAGTGGTTTGCTGACTTCTACAGCTCTGGTCCCTCAGTTTAACAGGAAAGCAGAGCTGGGTCCAAGGCCTTAATCTGAGATTGCAGCTCAAAGCTACCTCTTCCACTGGCCAAATCTGACCATCTTGAGCTGAGCAATGTAAGTCACAGCTGATTTTATTCTCTCTCCCCTCCTCACCTAGTTTTGGTATCTCTGACCTAGAGATGTGGTTCCCTTGAGCTCAAAGAAGTGAGGATAACTCACTGCAAACCCCCATGGTTTTCACAGAATCACAGAGTGGTTTGGGTTAGAAGGGACCTTAAAGGCCATCCATATCCAACCCCCTGCCTTGGGCAGGAACACTAGACCAGATTGCTCAGAGCCCCATCCATTTCTTTGTAAAGGAAAGCACAGTACTGTAGAGAAGAAAGAGGTACAAACTGCCCCATGTGTACCAGAAAAATGGTTCTTTACATGCCTTTTAACAGTGATTAAACTACTAACCCAACAAGGTTTAGCTTTAAACCTAATGGGGTGTGAGTGGCTTTTGCCATTAGACAGAACACAAACTCCCATCCACTGTGTTCTTGTCTGAGCTGAACTCTTCACCAGGGCAGAGAGGAGAGCATTGGGGTGACACGCTGTTCATCTATGCAAATTTCCTATTGAGGTTTTGAACTGTTTGTTTTGACTAAAAAAAGAATAAAATCTGTCGAACCCACAGATGTGAAGTGCTGCCACGTGGGTCTTGAGAAATTCCCCTCTGAAGAGAGTCTATCAAGTGACCTCTTCAAATGTTATTTTGAGGTTTTGTTTCTTTTCACAGTGCTCTTGCCAAGGCCATCCATTTGGCAGAGTGTGAAATCAGGTTTATAAAGTCATTTTTCTATTCAGAAATTTCCCCCAGACAGGACTTTCTCACCACAGGCCCAGTACATCAGTGTTGGAATGCTCTGCTGAGCTTGTCTTTTTTGTAAAGTGTATGAGACCTCACTTCAGCGAGGGTTTCAGGAGAAAACTGAGTGGAAAATGGGTGAGGAGGGTTAGCAGGACACGTGCTGTAAACATGACAATAGCAGGACCTTTGAATTCATAGCATCCAGCGTTCAGTGAAACAAGCCCCAAGGTGTGCTGCTGCTGCAGACAGCTCGTGTGGCAGGTTTGAACCCATCATCTGTGCAGCTGCATCGCTCCTGCCCTCAGGGAGCACAGACATCCACAGGGCATGGGAGCACTGGTGCTTCCCTGTGCAATGCCGTGAGTGTCAGTCTGGTGTCCTCCTGGCTGTGTTGCTTGGTAGCTGTTTAACCAAAGCTGTATCTGCTAGAGCTCTGTCCAGTTCTTCACATTCCAGCTCAACCAGTTCTCCTGTTCTCAGTCTGGATTCGTTTAGTATGAAAACAGAAATTACTGATCCAAAATTTCATGATGCTGTGTCCTGGCTTTGTGATCCAGAGTCCTTCCCCAGCTGTGCCACCTGATAGTCTTGCACATATTGTATTTATGGCAAATATTTTTTAAAGTGCACCTTTTTTTTTTTTCTTCTGAGATACAAAATGTTGATATGCTTTATTTTCTGTGGCCTGTTGCTCAATGGGGAAAAAATGAATGTTAAAGTGTGTCAGTGTCTCTTTTGTAATATTTTCTGTGACAAAGGGAAGGAAGAGGGTGAGAAATCCTTTTGTGTAGCAATGGGAAACACTCTTTCAGTGTAACATGCTATTATTGATACTGTATGTACTGATCAAAGTGTAATGAAATTGTTAATTCCTGATATAGCCTTTGTACTGTATGGTATTTTATTTTATTTTGTTATTCATTGATCCTATGAAATAAATATCCAGATTTAAGGCTTGGACTGCTTGTACTTGAAGTGGCAGGTGTGCCTTTATCATACATCCTGCTTGCCACTACCGGCACCCTGGTTGGGGTTTAAACTGGTGAAATCCCAGTGGCCTTGAACTGGACTTTGCATCTCCACTGCAGCAAGGCCCTGAGTGGTCCTATCCCTGCACACACTCACCATCCAGCACAAACAGCATCCAAACATCAGCTGCTGCTTGTGTCTGCAGGCTGGCAAACAAATGGAGGAAAAGACTAGCTAGGTTTGAAGAAGACTCCCATCAGTGATGTTTGCCCCAAAAAAAAACCTTCCTGAGACCTGGAAAAAACAAAGGATCTGTGCTCTCCTGCTCAGCTGATGGGCACAGCAACAAGAAATAGGTTTATTCTGTCTTAACAGTAAGATTTCCCTTCCTACCTTCCCATCTTTTGCATGATCTGCTTCCTCCCTGGCACTCATTTTTCTGACACAGAGGTAATTTTGTCAGAACAGAATACTTGGTTATTGCCCACGATATTAAAGTCTCCTCACACTAAATGAGGAAAAATCAGTCACCTCCATCCTCCTTGCAGCTCCTGGTTAATGTTCTGCTGCGAAGTAGCTCAGCTGAGCTGTAAAATCATCACAGTTTTTAGCCATTCAACCCTTTTTTTTTTATTTCTGGTAGAGGCAAAGTTTGATTGGAAAGCAGCAACAAAATAAAATTTAAATATTTGGAATCATTCACGCCTGGAAAAATTCATCTTCTAAAACCTAGCTCGAATGCACTGCCTCTCTGAAGGCTTTTTGGTGCTGCATCCAGATGAGAAGAACAGAATCCTCTGTTGTCCCACATGATCAAGTACTAAAAAAAACAAATCATTTATTTTATGGATCCTTTTATGTGGTCTGCTGTGCTAAAAGGTTTGTTTTTCAGTTAGCTGCCTAAGGAGCTGCAGCTCATGTCTTCAGCAATGAAAATCCCCAGCACGTGGCAGCGTCCTTGTTTTCTGGCTGCAGGAGGTTTCTGTGCTGGGCATGGTGCTCCCAGCAGAGCCTCCATGGCTTATGCAGAAATCCAGACCTTGTTCAAGCCCTCTGCTCATGACTTCTCCAGCTCAGGGCTGACTCCTTGAAAAAGCCAAACTCCTGGGAAGTTTGGGCAGAGATCCTCACTCCTCCCGAGCCACCCTCCCACCTGGTATCACTGCACCACATCAGGCCCCACCAATGCAAAGGGAAACAAAAGCCATGGAGAGTCAAATAATTCTTTTTTTTTCTTTGAGAAAGGCATGAGGACTGTGCCTCCAGCAATGAGGAATGCTTTCCATTTGGGCCTTATTTCTCATTTCAATTATAGAAGTAATTTCCATAGTTCACAAGGGGAAAATTTCAGGCACCTTTCGAAACAAATGTTACGTTTTAGTAAATGGCTTCATAAAACTTAATAAACATCCATCCAGAAGTTAATTTATTTAAAATGTCTTTAAATCCTGCTCTGCCTTATTGAATTTGTTTGAACTGTAGATCAGGTGGGAGTATATTCATGAGGGTATTTAAGCAATAGGGCAGCCCATCACGGTTGTTATTCCAGGTCTCCTGTGGGCTGGCAAGTACAAAGTACAAATCACACAAAGTGATTTTGGGCACTCAAGTGCAAAACCATTCCAGAAGCACACAGGCATGGCCCTGAGTGCTGCGGGGTGGCCAAACCACGGTTGCTGGGGTTGTTTTCTGGGAGCAAAATCATGCCAGGGGAGCACAGAGCAGCCAGCCCAGCCTCCATCCACTGCCAGCCCGGTCCGGGGCTCACTCAGCCAAAATCCAATGGGAAAGGACTGTAGAGTTATAGAATGGTTTGGGTTGGAAGGACATGGGCAGGGACACCTTCCAATCCCTGTCTAACGTGGCCTTGAACACTTCCAGGGATGGGGCAGCCACAGCTTCTCTGGGCAACCTGGGCCAGGGCCTCACCAACTGCACAGGGAAGAATTTCTTCCTAACGTCTCATCTAAACAGAGAAGCAGCCAAGTGTAGTTAAACATCATGTCACTGGTGATACAAACCAGCCAAACCAGCCAGGACTTCCAAGAAAGAGGAAGAGAAAGACCAAATATTTGTAGTGAGTGTATGCACGTGGGTATTGTATCCACACCTGTGATGATGTTTTGCTCATCTCTGAAATGTTTAAGTTTCATTTAATTTTTTTTACTCTTCCCACTTATTTTCCTTTCACTAAGTCTGCCTTCAAGAATTAATAATTGTGTTTTCTTTCTCTTTAGTAGCTGCAGTCCCTGGTGGGTTCAGCTGACCTACGCTAAACTCTATAACCATCCTTTGACAGGCTGAGAGAGTTGGAGTTGTTCAGCCCGGAGAAGAGAAGGCTCCAGGGAGACCTTAGAATCCCTTTCAGTGCCTAAAGGAGTTCCAAGAGAGCTGGAGAAGGACTTTTTACAAGGGTATGGAGTGACAGGACAAGGGGGGATGGCTTAAAACTGAGAGAGGGTAGATTTAGATCTCGCCAGCACCCTATTACATGAACATAATCCAGATGTAGTAGCCATTGTTATCAAGATTCAGTAGCATTAGCACACTGTTAACAACCCAGCACACTCCATATCTTTGTCACTGTGAGGGTGCTCCTTTTTAGGAATAGGTTTCAGGCCCTGAGAACCTCAGGGATTCACCCAAGGACTGCAGTGAAATCTTGTAGACCAGAGACTCAAACCCCAGTGTTTCCAGCAGTCAACTCTGCTTCATCCTTCCCTTCATTCACCCTAAGCAGGTAGTCCATGAGCTATATTAAGCCTTCATTCCAAGACACATATAATCAAAACATGCCAACATTAAACCATTAAAAAGCAGCTTCTCACTGGTTGTCAGCAACAGCAACATCCTCATCACAGCACTTGGCAGCTTTCAAAGTGTTCCTGACCGTGCTGTTATCCTTGGTGTCTGCTCCATACAGGTTGAAGGAGAAGGTGAAGCAGTGTGTGTTGAATTTAAAAAATACCCAAACAGCAACAAAGTCCTTTAGGTGGGAATGAACTTAGCAGTGCCATGGAGAACTGTAATGAAATCTGTGACACCTGACATTTTCAATGTTCTGGTTGTCCTGTCCAACTGAAAAGCAGACTGCCAACAGCATTACTAGTACAGCTCCCACACAGAGAGCGTGAATTCTTACAGAGTTTCACATTACTGCAATAAATCACTTTTTTTGGTCTTCCTTCAGACTGGCAATTGGAATAAGATTAATTTCTCTTTACCATCAACACAAGCATGAAATTACATTTTTCGTGACCCGTCCAGAAAAACACCTTATGTCGCTGTTGGTGTTTTCTGACTCAGAACTTGAGACTTACACCTCTCCTCCCTCTGGGCTTGAGCTGGACTGGGGAAACCAAAGGGTACAGGGATTTTAAAGCTGGTCACCAATGACACCACAGCAGGGGGGCCAGACTGGTTAATTCTTTTGCCCAGAGAAGTGAGCACCCTTCCCGGGGAGGCTGATCTAGCAAATCATGTAAACACAAGTCTATAGGCTTTTGGGATGAAAAAAATACATATTTGTGGAGCATTTGTGAGCCTCAGTAAAGGCCCACTTGCACAGCTAGTATAAATCAGTTTGCATCTGCAAAGAAACCCAGGTTGTGTTTGTAAGTGACCAAATCTAGCTTTGTTTGTTTCTGTTTTCTGAGGCTTTTTTTAAAAAAATATCATTTAGCAGGGGAAAATGAAGCAGTTCGTTATCTTCACAGCTCCAGTCTTAAATGCCAGAGGTGCTGATCAGATTAAAACAGAAATCAGAGTTTATAGCTTGTGTCTGGAAGGAATAAAGACTCTCTGGTCCTGATTTTGATTGAATATAAGACAATATCTCTTGCTTATTGTATATATTACAGTGGTAATGGGGGGGAGTGTTTATCTCAGCATGCCTCAGTGTTTTTTAATGTAGTGTTCATCATATGGAGCTCACTGGCATTCACAAAACACCCCTGTAGATTTCTCTTGGTACCCTAATAAGTTTTCATGGGATTTGGGAGACAGAGAATAATCCATGCTGCCAGTCTCACTCCATTGATACACCATTAAAATCAGCTCCTCATGACTGAATCATAGCATCACAGAATGGTTTTGGTTGAAAGGGCCTTTAAAGGTCATCCCATTCCAACTCCCCTCCATGGATGGGAACACCTTCCACTAGACCAGGTTGCTGAAAGCCCCAACCAACCTGGCCATGAAAAGCCTCCAAGAGCAATGTCCTTGTCTTAGAATGGCTAACTGGTAAAAATTCCTCTCCCCTTGCCCCAGGGTGATATGATTTCTGTGATATCAGCCACAAGCCACGTTGTTATAATCTGATCCTCGGGCAAGAAATGCTGTGTTCTACCGGGAAAACATTTCATTGGTAACGAACATTTCACCTGGCAATGAAGAATAAGTGTGAGTGGCAGCTTTATACTTGTGGTGACCAGGAAAGCCAAAGCTACCCATAGCTGAACGCTGGAATAGAAATTGGGGAGGACTATCTCTGCTCCACTTCTCAGTCTGGAAGGCAAATGCAAAATTAATGAATCTCTGTACAGGGAGATAGAGGCAGAAAAGGTTTCTGCAGAGAGTGAATCTGACTTTGTTTTCCCCCCATTGAAATCCATGCCAACCCAAAAGCTCTGACTTTTCAATGCTCTCAGCTTTGAGGAAGATTGTGCCATATCAGCTTACGATGTAGGATAAAAGGTACAAAGGATTCTAAAAGTCTTCAGAAACTGTGGGCAAAATAAGGGCACAGTGATAATAATTCTATTTGCTTTCTGTGTTTCTACATACATCATGTCATCAAAAGGATTTGCAGATGTTTTCCAGAGAGAATACAGTTGTGTTAGCAACATCAGTGTGTAACAAAAACCACCAGAAAATGGAAAAGGAAAAAAAAAAGAAAACCTTCTGCTCCTGTCTGATTTTCACATCTACAGATCAGTCAAAAGCTTTTCTCTTCAACCAAAACCTCCCTTCCACTTGTTTGTG